CCTATATAATCCCAATATGACCCCTTGGGGCAACCTCCAAACTCATCCATTCACCAAGTTTTCCAGCTCCTTCCGACACAAAGTCATATTCGGTAATTGAGCTAAAGTCTAAACTCCTTAGAGCGTGTTATCTGGGGTTTAGGGTTTGGGGTTTAGGGTTTAGGCAAGTCCTGTTCGGTAATAACTGCCCGTGCCCAGTTCGTGACTGCCCCAGGCCTCGCAACCCACCAATAACCACTTCGAGCAATTGTCTGACCTCACAAGAAACCTGCCACCGAAGCACCGTACAACCTATAGTCCGCCTTCAGTAGATAGAATATGGCTTTGGGTAGATTATACTGAGATCCCCATATACCCCATATTCTATGCACTTAAGGGGGACTACAGACTTCTTTCTGTCTTGACTTTAGAATTCTCTACCCCGTGCCCCTTTGCAATTCACCGACCGCTCTGGATGACACCTTGATCTGGGATCCCGACAGTAAGCCGTGGGTGTTGAAGGAGACTGGGGGTCCTTTCAATCTCCAGGTTTTGGGTTTCCAGGCTTCAGGGTTTAGGGTCCCTAAACCTCAAACCCTTAACCCTAAACCCTGTTCAGCAAAACGCTTGAAGAACCCCGGGAAGGTCCTCGTCCAGCTTCCCATGCCCTTTAGCATCAGGCGCGGACCAGATCATCCTGGCCTGCAGCAACACCGGAGCTTGCAGTAGTAGAATAAGGGATAAGGGTATATAAGGGTTTAGGGTTTAGGGCCCCTTAGCCCCTCCAGCTCCGAATTTCTTATCGCTCTCACCGAACGCAAAGCAGAGAGGCTGGAGCCTCTCCAGTCTCTCCCCCCCAGCCCTTAGGTCTGCTTTGCATTTGGTTTGGAGGTGAGAATTCGGCTCTGGGGGGCTGCAAACCCAGCCTCTCCGAGGCCTCTCCAGCCCCTCTTGGGTTTGCTTTGCGTTCGGTTTGAAGAAGGGAGCGATCGAAATTCGGCTCAGCTGAGGTGGAGGGGCTGGAGAGATTGGAGAGGATCCAGCCCCTCCAGCCTTTAGGTTTGCTTTGCGTTCAGCGTGAGAACGGCCATAAAAAATTTGGAGCTGAAGGGGCTCAGGAGCTGGAGGGGCTGGAGCCTCTCCAGCCCCCTTAGCCCCTCCAGCTCAGCTGCAAAGCCAGCCCCCAACCCCCTCCAGACCCTCCAGCTCTAGCTCAGCTGAGCCGAATTTCTTCCCCTTACACAGCAGTTGAAGTGGCAGAGGGGCTGGAGGAGGGGTTGGAGGGGTTGGGGGTCTGGAGTCTCTGAGTGATAAGAAGTTCAGCTGAGCTTGAGGGGCTAAGGGGGCTGGAGAGGCTGCAGCCCCTTACACCGAACGCAAAGCAAACCTAAAGGTCGGAGGGGCTGGAGGGGCTGGAGAGGCTCCACATTGAAACCGTTCGGTTTGAAGAAGGGAGCCATAAGAAATTCGGCTCGCGGGTGGAGCAACTCCAGCGCCTCCGGCCTTTAGGCTTGCGATCGGCGTGAGAGCGACGAGAAATTCGGAGCTGGAGGGGCTGGAGGGGCTGGGGGTGGGATCATATTTTAAAAATCTGTTCAGACCCTGAGAATCTTAAATTTCTTCTTTGCAGGGTGTCCCAATAAGAAATTTCCAGGGTCTAATCTCATCTACGCCCGTTTCTTATCGAATGCATTGGCCGTAGTGAAGAATCAAGTGGAAAATGAAGTGGAAGAGTGCTCTGCAGGGATGTGTGATCATGCTCTGGTCAAGGGTTGCGCGCGCCAGGAGCAGGCTAGCTCAGAGACAGAAACATGACTGCAGGCCATGCATCGCTGAGTAGCACACCAGGCAATCAGCCATGCTGTCCCAGGGGTACCTCACTGCTCTGAGCTGCACTGTGGTGTCACCAACCAACTGCCAAAGCCCTGCATAATCTGTTTCATCATTGAAGACTGAATGAAAAACCGAAAGGGCTTGAAGATCTGGGCGTGTTGCTGCACACGATGTCCGTCAGCCCACGCCTCAGCAGTCACTAAATGTCATTGAAAATTGACAACAGCTTCATGTCTGGAAACTACGACATTGATTGACTCCAGAGGTCTTTCTTATCTTCTGGCCTCATGCAGAAGGTGGTAGTTTGAGAAAACGACGCCCTCAATACAGCCGCGAGAATTAAGTGTGAGACCATACCTCCTCCAGGTAACACGTTTGACAAAAAACAGAATAGGAGTTACAGTAGCCCCATAATAAAGCCCCTTCAAGCGCAGTTACGAGGAGCGAGAATGACCCAAACTCCTATTATCGGGACCCTCAAAACGGGACCCTTAGCTTTTGGAAATGCCCAGGCAACTGAACTCTGAGCTGCAGACACCCTTGGCAGTTTCGGGCAAGACTTTCTGCCTGCCGACAGTCTGAGTGGTCAAATCGTGATAAAAAAAGGGTAACAGCAATAACAATGGTAACAGGTACTAGTACAGTACTTGTTATAATAACAGTAACAGCAACAGCCATAGTATTAGTGATACTACTAGAAAAAGCAGGAGTAATGAGCACGATAATCATAATCATACAAGTAAAAGTGAAGGAAAAAAACAAAGACTCCACCAGAAAGAGGCTGTCTGCATTGATGGCCCCTGATATTAGTTTGGTGGATCCAGCACCTGAAATGGCATGGGTTCAGGATTTAGGATTCCCTAGTGATGTCTTTGGCTTTGAGCTTTGCTTACCTGCGCCGTCCGTGACAAAGCAGTAGACCCAGAGCGACGAGAGCAAGTAGCAGTGCCTGAGAGGCGGTGAAGCTTTATCGGAATTATTATTACAATTATTACAATTATTGTTACTATTAATATATTATACTTTTAGTATTTCTATTTTTAACGAAAATAATAGGCCGGATGTTCATAAGTCACTTCGCAGCTAGCCCTTGCCGAACGTCCATTGCAATCTCTGCTTTGGGACAAGGGAAAGAGAAGAGAACGCGCCGATGGTTTCCAATGTACTGGTATGCCCTGATTGGAAACGTCGAGCTCAGGACCTGAGAGCCAGGCAGCAACTGCACAAAGTCCCACAAGAAGAAGTGGCAATTCCTGCAATCTTTGGGCAGTAAGCATGTTATCCCCTAAACCCTAGACCCCAAGCCCCAAACCCTAAACTGCTAAAGCAAAAACAGAAATTCAACGCAGCAACCCTGACGAAGGGCTTAGGAGCATCCAATTGTGCAACTCCGAAACCCTGAAAATCCAGTAGTTATATAGGGATTGTATGGGGATGGTATAATGATTCTTGAGGGTTACATAGGAACTATATAGGGCTTATACGTATTATGTAAGGATGTTACCCCCCATGATTGGGAATCAAATGGAAACGAAGATGGAAAATAAAGTGGAAACTGTGGCTATGTAGTGGTTTGTAGAGATTATACATCAGAAATGGGAACGGCAGTTGCTACCATGGTTTATTCTTGGTCTTCGAAGGAAGTCTTCTACTTTCAAGGTTAAGCTTAACAGATCTCCATCCCACGACCTAAACCCTAAACCCTCAACCCTGAACCCTAAACCCTAAACTCTAAACCCTAAACTCTAAACCCTAAACTGCTGAACAATTGTCCACGGGCCTTTGATGAATTGGACAGGCCGGCACCGAGCGTGGGAGATGCTTCATCCTCCTGTCACTGCCCCAAGGGATCATATTGGGATTATAAGCTAGTTTCCGTAAATTACTGTTCCCAAAATAGGGGAAATCTATATAGGGCCCCGTATTAGAATGGGAACCCAAATATAGGACCCCGTATTATAATGGGAATTTAGACCAATACCCATAAAGGGTTATACGTATACGGGTATGAAACAGGATCATACAGGCATCATAAGCAGGGATTACATGGGCTTAGGGGTGTTACCTCAAGTGTGGAGAATCAAATGGAAATGATTATGGAAAATGGTATGGAAACCATCACCAAGAGCAGAAGCTTCCAAAAGCGTACACGTGACCATGCTGCGGGCTTGCAGCTCCGTGCCAAGCAGCAAGTGCGCTCAAAGGGCCATAAAGGGAGAGCGTGACCCATGACTGCTTGTGCTACGGATTTAAGGTTTAGGGTCCTACCATCACGGAAATGAAGCCGCCATGCTTTGCTTCGACGCACCAATCTAGACCGCGTTGGTGCAGGTGGGCAAGACCTACTGCGGCTGATCTTCATACATAGAATTCTCATGTAGTAGTTTTCGTATCAAGCGTATGAGCCCCTACATAATCTCAATTTCCATTGCATCTTCCATTTGCTTTTCCCATGGGATGCTCCATTATTAGGGGTACTATCCCTAATCACTCATCCCTACATAGCCCCTATGTCACCCCTATACAACCCCTGTACAACGCCAATATAACTCCTATATAGCCCGTATATAACCCCTATGCAAACCCTATGTAATCCCTATGTAACCCCCGCATAATCCCTATATTAACTCCTAAACCCTAAGCCCTAACCCTTACGCCCTATGTTACCCCCTAAACCCTAAACTCTAATCCCTATATAATCCCTATATGACCCCTTAAACCCTAAACACTAACCCTTACCCCCTATGTTACCGCCTAGACCCTAAACCCTAATCCATATAAACCCCTATATTACCCTCTAAACCCTAAACCCTTACCCCTATGCCCTGTGTCACCCCCTAAACCCGTAACCCCTAAACCCCTACGCCCCATGTGCGCCGAATAAAATATGGCAGTTTCCTAAAATAACGGGACCCCAATATACCCCCCAAAATACCATAATCCTTATTATAGGGGCCCCCAAAATGGTACCCCTAATTTTGGGAAACCCTAATCCTTATAATCCCTCTTATAATCCCAGTTTCCATTTCANNTTAAAGTAGGTACCCCTAATTTTGGCAAACCCTAAACCCTAAACCCTATATAAACCCTATATAAACCCTATATAAGCCCTATATACCCTTATAGTATCCCCCCATAAACCCCTAATTTTGGGAAACCCCCATATGAAGTTTGTGCCAAAGCTCTACCTTGATCAAGCCCGGCAATGCAGAGAAGTTCTGGTTGGTATCTTGCGCCTGCGGTAACAAGGGTCAGGGCTTAGGGTTTAGGGCTTTGGGTTTAAGGTTTTGAGTTTAGGGTTTTGGGTCTAGGGTTTGGGGTTTTCGGCTTAAGGCTTCGGGGGGATTTCAGTTATCCCAAACCCTGAATTTAGGACGCTATTACAATCAAAGGATAGCTTTTTAGTGTCCTCATTACGGGGGTTGGGGGAACTGAAGTCGCTTTATCACGCGAGTGATGCCAACATGATCGATCTGTTTTCGTCACACTGGGTTGGAGAAGACAATATGAGGCCGTCCCCAGGGTTTACTGGGATCCCTTTTGCTGCATACCCAAAAGGATATAATGTTCCTCCATATAGGGGACTATAATATTATCATTGTTCTAATATTGTTCATAATATACATGATAATTGAAAAGTCTAGATTTTCAGCATTATCTGCATGCTTTCTTACAAGATCATCATACTCCTGGAACACGAGATTGCACAAGCGTGCCTGGGATGTGGTAACACTTACCGCAGCACCGCCAGCTGCTGTGCTCGTAGCCTCCGCAACACAAACGAGTGACTGTTTTTGTGGCTGAGCTCAACAAGATTTGATTCTTCATAAAAAATACATACCCAAAAGGATATAATCTTCCTCCATACAGGGGACTATAACATCATCATTGTTCTAATACTATTCATAATATTCATGATAATATTATAGTGGGGACTATAGTCTCCCCAAATAAAACACGGCTCAGATGAAAGATGATTGAGCTTGCGCCGGTCAGGGTGGCCAAGCATGCTGGACCTAAACAAAGTAAGTAATAGGATTTCCTTGCTGCAGTTACTTAATTAAAGGTCTTTAATAGCAGCCCAGTGAACCTAAGCCACACATCCTGACTATTCCTACAGCCTCAACGAAAGCATCAGCAACCATCATAGGATCCGAGGCTCCAAGAACATGAATGTCGAAATGCCTTTCCTAAACCCTAAACCCTAAAAACCCTAAACCCTTGCCTGGGATGTGATGGTACTCGCCGTACCCGCAGCTGCAGTGCTCGTAGCCTCTTCAACAACTTTTTGGCCGATTGGCGTTAATCACACTTCTCCTGAAAATATTGGGATAATGGAAAATAAAATGGAAACTGCTACTTCGTAACTATATGGTAGTTTCCGTTTTGTTTTCCATTATCCCAATATCTTATAGCATATTGGGGGCTTTAGCCCTAAACCCTAAACTCGGCTCTTTTGCTGCAGCCTCGCCTAGGAGGCCATGGTAAGGGTGACGGGCTCTTGGGGGAGCGAGGCGGGCAGTGGGTGTCCTAACGAGTCAAATACCCCTCAATTGAAGAGCTGGGGTTATGTAGGGGGAATATAGGGGTTATATAGGGGTTCTATGAGGGTTATATAGGGGTTATATAGGTTTTAGGGTTTAGGGTTTCCTAAAATTAGGGGTACCTTTTTGGGGGTCCCCATAATAAGGATTACAATATTTTGGGGTCCATATTGGGGTCCCCTTATTTTGGAAAACTACCATCTTGAAATCTTATAAAGGGGGTTTAGGGTTCAGGGTTTAAGGTCAGGGCTCCTTGTATGATCTAAGGTACATTCCTTAACTACTGTAAAGGGTGGGTGTTGGTTTTCTGGGTTGAGTTGAAGAGGAGCGCGTGGAGAATCGACCGCGCAAAGACCATCGAATAAGGCACACGTGCCGCATGGCCGGCACACACCCTATCACCACACCGAACATCCAACACCTAAAAACCCACAAACTCCCCTAAGAACCCCGAACTCTAAACATCACAAAGCCACCATGCCAAACACCCCCAGCCCCTCACCGCCCTGACCTCTTACTTACGTCCATAACCACCCTGAGAACATAAGAGCCCTGAACACTAAGCGTTCTAAATGCCCCCAAATCCCAAGACCAGCCCGAGACAAGAAAACTGCATACATTAGAGTCCCTCAACCCTGAACGTGGAAAAATTGCTAAAGGAACCCAGCTCCGATACAAACAACCCCTAACCCTTTCGATGGCTCCAAACCATCAAAGCATTGAGCTGCAAAATCCTTAAGCCCTGAATACCCAACTTCACGGCACCAAACTTGTCAAACCCTATGAAAGCCAAAATAATCTAAACCCTACAGTCACACAACCCCTAAATCACAAGAACACCAAGTGGAAGCGACAAACCTGAACTGCCCTACACTTTAAAACTCTGAAACCCCCGGAAAACTCACATACCCTGAAAACCCGAAAGTCTGACAATGCAAACCAGAATGGAGTTATAATGGGGTTATATTGGGGGTATAATGGGGTTATATTGGGGTTAGAATGAAAAATAAAATGGAAACTATAGGGATTATAGGGTATATTGGTTTCTCAGCTTCTCTCCCTGGTGCTGAGGAGGGAATGGGGGAATGGATTATAGGGACTGTTATTCGGGAATATGTCTGGACTACTATAGGGATCCATTCCCACGTTCCCTCCTCAGGACCAGGTAGTAAAGCCCAGACCACCTCCAAGCCTCTCATGACAGAGTTTAAGGTTCAGGGTTTGGAGTTCAGATGAGTTTCGGGTTTAGGGCTACGCCTTCCAGCCCAAACGCCGCCCTTATACCCTAGCAAACAAGAAAACCACGCCCCAAACACCCAAAACCTCAAACCCTGAAATATAAAACCCCAGAACTCCCGTGACCCAAAAAGTCGTGGACCGAATGTAGTACTCAACACCCTAAACGATCCCAAATTCTAGAAGAATGGAAAAAACAATCACGAGCGACCCGACCAACATCACCAAAAATTGAGACCAACACGATTGACATGAACACCACAACCGATGCGCGCAGCACCACAGACGCACTCGTCTACCAGGCACTACGGCCCATGAGGATTAACTTCATGGCTTGCACCTAAGGTTCCCGAATCGCCTAGCAGCTAGCAGTTGTGCCATACACGTGCCTATTGTTGCCATGCTTTTCACGTACCATGTAATGTGCGATGCCTCTGCGGTACTCTCCAGCAACAACGATGTAGTTGGAGGTGCCGTCGTAGTAGTGGTCGGCGCTCGCGCCTTCCAGCTCAAGGGATCTGAAACACAAAAACTGAAACAAAAAGAACAAAGAACTGGGATGGTGGCCACCATCTGGACGTCGGCAGGAATGCCGGTCTGCGTCAGCTCCTACGGTGGATTGAGGAAATCTTACGGATCACTGAAGCTTCCGCCTTTCGGACCACCACTGTCGGATATTACCAAACCAAAGGAACCGAAATTCTGTGATGCCTTAGGTCAATCCCCCCTACCGTAATAGCCCCTACACAAGAGGTAATGGGGACCTTGATATACCTACAGTAATCCTTTGTGGTACCCCTTCCTGGGTGGGGGATTGACCCAAGTGATGCCAGACGTATGCTCCCCGAATACATGGGGATTTGCCAGAATTAGGTGTACCTTTTCGGGGGTCCCCATAGTAAGGATCATGATACATTGAGGTCTATATTGAGGTCCCCTGATTTTGGGAAACTACAAACCCTAAATCCTAAACCCTACACCCTATATAGCCCGTATATAACCTCTATATAATCCCTGTATATAGGATCCCTATATGAACCCAAGCTCCAGGACAAAACTACCGAAAGTCCTGCGCCACGTCTACAGCCACCGCTTGCAGGCTGGTCTCAGAGGAGAGGAACTCCGCCAGGCCCCGTGAGACTGACCGGACCTTCTCTACCAAACGAGGCTAGGGTTCAGGGTTTAGGGTTTAGGGTTTAGGGTTCAGCTGACTTACTTAGCGTGTAGGGTTTTGGGTTGAGGGTTTAGGGTTTAGGGCTTAGGATTAAAAATCTTCCCACAAGCCAAACTAGGCGCTTTTCCTGCACCTCGAATTGAGCCTAGACCCTCATTCTATAGATCATCAATATTTGGGGGTGGGGGGGGGCGGGGTTCCCAAAATTAGGGCTATACCATTGTGAGGGCCACAACAACCATAGGGTTTAGGCCCTCCACTTAGGGAACTGCAGTATGCAAGCAATCTTTCAGCGAAACCCTAAACCAGCAGACCTCCACAATGAACTGCAGCATCTGTGAGGCAGCCAACCTGCCAGTGGCAAAAGGGGGCTGCGTGGGGTTCAAATTTTTGGGGTACCCTCAAAGGGGTTATAAGGGGATATGTAGGGGTATATGAGGTATATAGGCTTTAAGGCTTAGGACCTAGGGGCTCCCCAAGAATTGGGGATACCTTTTGGGGTTCCCTATCATGAGGATTGTAGTTATTTGGGGTCTAAATTGGGTTCCCCTCATTTATGGAAACTACCATTTCCACCTTTTGGGTTTTTGTGGACCCTAAACCCTATACACTAAACCCCAAACCCTAAGCCCTAAACCCTCTTCGAGGTGTTAGTGCCAAGCTGAATGGATTGCTTTCTGGGCTTCATAGTGATTTAGGGTTTACTGTAGGGTTCAGGACCAAATCCACACATGACGCAACCTATCATGGCTAGCATTTTGTTGAGAAGTCGAGCAGAATTTCATCAAATCACAGGAGTGAAGGTCTATGCTGCCCTGCAGACGACGCAACACTTGCAGGACCCCATCCAGGGATCAGTTGTAGCTCTGGAGGGGGACAAATTCTATGATTTGCCTACCCTAAACCCTAAACCCTAAACCCTAAGCTTGCCAATCCAGTGCCACTTCAAGACCCAGATGCAGGCAGCCACATGCGGGAAAGCAATGCCTTCTGCCATTCTCAACGAGCTGCACCGAGACTGCCTTTACAACACTCGACTGGGTTGCTGTTAAGGAACTTAAATTAAGTTACATAATGGGTACATATAGTAAATAATAGGGTTTCCCAATATAGTAACTTAATTTGAGTTTCTTAACAGCAACCCAGTCGAAGGCAGATGTTGGGCAGTTGTGGGATTGAGCTCGGAAATTGGATCGCTTGCTATGAGTCTACGCAGCCGCTGCAGAATCACTCGCTAAAATATCGGGATTGGGCAAACATGGCACCAACACTGATCTGTTGTATATACCCAGCAGCCTCAACCGGCACGTCCAAGGACTCAGCAACCGCCTGGGCTGTCACATGCATGTGGGAAATGAAATGGAAGCAGCTCTGTCGGTTAAAAAAGGATTTTGTAGGGGTATTACCTCAATAATCGAGAGTCAAAGAGTAAAGAAAAATGAAAAATTAAATGGAAACTAGGGGTAATATAGGCATCATTTGGCATGTCCAAAAAGCTCAGAGACACACAGCAACCCTAGTAAGACACCAACAACATTCTGGAACTCCACTCCTGAAGAATGGGGTAGTTCCCAAAATTAGGGTAGCATTTTTGTGCTCCTAAATTGTAGGCGCCACATTACAAATTCTGTGAACAGCGCATGTGGCAACTTGCCGTTGTCTGTGGTGCCAGAAAACAAACGCGTGCAGCAAAATTGCGCTGCAGGATGCTGCAGAGCCTATTCTACTGGATTGCTGTTTTAGGGTTTAGGGTTTAGGGTTTAGGGTTTAGGGAGGAACTTGGATTAAATCGCTTGCTGCTTGCACGCTGCGAGAAAAGCTGAAAGTCTGGTTGTATGGCAGCGGACAACAGACACAGCCCAAGGTCCCACTGCATGCCTTCACGTCGTGTCTCAAAGAACCCTAAACTTAGGGTTTAGGGCTTGGGGCTTAGTAAGCCCTAAACCCAAATGCTTTATGTTGTGGTCCCTGTTTATGGAAAGCCCTGCGTGTATTCGTGCCCCAGCCCTGGAGTGCAAGCGGAACACAAGTAATGCACAGATGAGCTACAGTCAATATACCTACAATTAATGGACATGGTTCCTATTGGGGATTATATTAAGGACTGTCCTAAACTATCAAAGGGACCCTATTTCCACCCTTAATTGTCTTTTGGTAAACCTAAAACTGACAGTAGCACATATGCAAATTGTACACTGGCATGCGTCCATGGCGGATCTATCCTCTTCAGCGTTTCTTGTAATATACTACTTGGAGGGTCAGGGGGACTTAGTAACTGGGTTACTAATGGGGATAATTGGGGTTACTATATGGGTTATAGGGGTTATTAACCTACTTACTAAGTCCCCCTGACCCTCCAAGTACATGTTGGGTTTCCTTGGGCTCAACAGGAGCTGTAACCTGATCTGCACAAACAGATCCACAGATGTGAGATCACCGACTTGACTCGTCCCCTAAACCCTAAACCCCTATACCCTAAACCCTAAACCCCTAAACCCTAAACCCTAAACCCCTCAACCCTATACCCCTAAACCCCTATACCCTACACCCGAAACCCCTAAACCCCCAAACTGAAGCTTCAGGCCTTCAACCTGCACCAGCTAACCGGCTCACGAAGCTTTGAGTGGCGAACATTTTGCAGCGAGTCTTCCAGCTGACTGGCCTCAGACAGCTGACTGGGGCTTAGTAGGGAATAGGGTTTTTTTAGTTTAGAGTTCAGGAAAATAAGGAAATATCATCCCCACACAATCCCTATATAACATATTATGTAAGGATATATGTATACACATACACATAGGGATATATGTTCTAGGGATTCTATAGGGCTTGTATTCCCTTGTTCTGGCCCAGTAAGCATAGAGGTGCAGCACCTGAAGGTTCGTCAACTTCAGGGTTTAGGCTTTATGGGTTTAGGATTTTAGGGCTCAGGTATGATGGAGAATCAGACGGGAAAGAGAGTGGAAAATGAAATGAAAGCTACTGTATATGTATATGTATACTATATATGTATATGTATAGGTATTATATCGGGATGATACAGGGATATTACCCCAATAATGGGGAATCAAATGGAAAAGAAAATGGAAAATGAAATGGAAGCTGCTGCATATTTTTTTTTCCGGATATATAGGGTGTAGGGCTACACGGCGTCGGACTAGGAGCCCAGAACACGATCACCTAAACCCTAGGCCCTGTCAACAGTAGGTCTCTAGCGCTGGTCTCGTTGCTGACTTCGAGCACGACATCAAAACTGGCAGACTCTGCAGCCGGTGCCAGGCAGACCTTTTTCACGCATTAAAGGGAAATAGGGGACCTTTAAAGGGGTAAAAAGGGGATTCCCAAAATTAGGGGTACCTTTAAAGGGGTAATAGGGAAAATTAGGGGCATATAGGGACGTATAAGGTCTGGGGATTCCCAAAATCAGGGATATCTTTTTTGGGGGGTCCCCATAATAAGTATCATAATAATTTGGGGTCTATACTGGGGTCCACCATTTCTGGAATCTACCAAATCAGACTTGGGGTAAGTCTTCTTGCTTTGTGGGAGCTCAAGTTTTGGACTGCCACTTGCACGAAGAAAAGCCCCGGTCGCGTTCAAGCCTTGCATTCTCCAAGGCTTACCATCACTACATGGTAGTTTCCCAAAACAAGGGTACCCCAATATACCCCGAAATGTTATATTCCTTATCATGGGGACCCCAGAAATCATTACATGCCTCAAGATAGGGAGTCCGAGTTTTATTGGGGTCTCTGCGGCATCAACCTTGCGAACTAGTCCTGCTACAAGGATATCTGCAGGTCTGCCACTACATCAACATGTCCAGTAGCCTCGAGGTCGCAGGTCGATATGTTGACAGGCCGAGACGCCAAGCAGTCCTCAAACCACACCACTCCGCGACATTGCAGTAATGAAAGAGGGAGGTGCTCCCATGGATTTAGGGAATTTGTAACTTGTGTAGATGGCCCTATTGGGAATATATAGGGATTATGGTCCGTTATTACCGGAAGAATATTTCCACGAATACGTCCGGGTAAGGGTCTGAAAGCCGCACGTAGCAACCCTAAGCCTACTTAGAACACCAGTTTCACCATGTCTCAGGCGTGTTCAATGTTTTGCGCATCCGTGCATGTATGGGGGTTACATAGAGCTGATATTATAAGGGTTAGATAGGGAATATTAACCCTAAACCTTAAACAAAAACTGCTGCTGGGACTGCTACCCTTTTCGGCAGATTTCCAGAGCCCTAAGACCTAAACCCTAAACCCTCATCCTCGTCTTGCCCACTGTCGCAGAAGACCGCCCGCACGCGCTGACCACAGCCGCTCCCGTCGCAGGATGACCAAGCGCCAACCTGCTCTGGGTACCAAGACGTCATCATCTATATATAACAACATATATATATATATACATATAGAGGGATTACATTCATATATATATATATGTATGGATGACATAAGCATAGTATCCCAAGAATGGAGAAAGAGGCAAAGAAAATGGAAGATTGAATGAAGGCCACTATACATAGGGTTCTACCCTCTTTCTGCTCCCTCCACGACTATAATGTCTGCCGCTATGAACCAGAGCTGCTGCTGCTAATACCCCTAAACTCTAACCCCTAAACCCTAACACCAAAACCCTAACACCCAGACCCTAAACCCCTAAACCCTAAACCCTAAATTCCCTTAACCCTAAACCCCTGAATTCCCTAAACCCTAAACTCCCTCAAACCTAAACCCTAAACCCTAGACCCCAAATTCCCTAAACCCTAAATTCCCTAAACCCTAAATTCCCTAAATTCCCTAAATTCCCTAAATTCCCTAAATTCCCTAAACCCTAAATTCCCTAAACCCTAAACTCCCTCAAACCTAAACCCTAAACCTCAAAACCCCCCAACCCCAAACCCTAAATTGCCTAAACCCTAAACCCCAAATTCCCTAAACCCTAAACCCTGGGGAATCATCTTTGGCCTGCCAAGTGCAGCCGGTCGTGTCGCTGCAGGTCTCGTAACTGGCAGGCGCCACACCACAGTCCTGCATGACTTGGAATGTATACCTTAGGTGGACCCCCCACCCAGTAATAGTGACTATAAGGGATAATAAGGATTATATTAGGGTCCTCTCATATTCCTATTATACCACTATTACAAGGGGGGGGGTCCTCCTAATGTATACGCTTAGGGTATAGTGTTTATAAGCATGATAAGGATTCTATAGGGTTATATAGGGGATATGTTGGGATAATGTAAAAGAAAATGGAAAGTACTATAATGGGGTTGTATAGGGTTTAGGGTTTTATGTCAACTAGCTCATAAGGCTCTAACAATTTCCAAGAAAGCTGCCTTACTGGGTTGCTATTAGGGACTCAAGCCCCCATTAACTACAATGTACATACTGTGGTGATAATTTTATTTGCTTAACAGCAAACTTAAGCCCCTCGACTACAACATGGCTCTGCATATTGATCCAGAGCACCCTTACGATGGCGCCCCTGGCGCCGTATTCAAGAACCCCTGGCCCTTCACAGATCTGAGATCTGAACGGTGTGACATCACACACCCCAGCTGCACTTCTACATCCTGCACCCCCGCAGCTTGAAGTCGTAATGCAACAGGTGACTTAAATCTCCCCAAGCAACCGCTTCCTGGTCACATGCCTCGAGACCTCAGATCCTTACTCCAAGTCTTTGGTATGTCTCGATTGTTCGGAGCCAAACCACTTAAGCAGAAGTGCCACCAACTCCAGCTGCCGACGCTGCGTCAGTCCTGTGCAGATCCTGCCGGGCAGTGCCTCAAGGCTGCGCATGGTGGGCCAAGTCATGTGCTGCTTCTTGGTTTGGATGGCGTTTAGGAGATCAACTGTGCTTATATAGCTGCATCTCCGCCACAATCAGTTTCACTGCGCGTGCCCTCAACATCAAAGGGCAAACTGTCCAAAATAAATTTTCTTTCTTCCTGGAAGCACAAGAAAGCCAAAACCTAAATGACGTTCCTGACGCCATGCCTGAATACTTCCAGCAAGCAAAAGCTGCACTTGACTACTGCTCAAGTCAGCAATAATTTGACAGCATGGGTGTGTGGGCTTTGGGGCGCAGGCTACTCTTCACCCAAACCTACTATGTATCCCCATATATCTCCTCAAATCCCCATACCCCTGCCTACATATATTCATATATACATATATACATATATGCATATATACATATATGCATATACACCTAATACATGTATATATATACACATAAATACTATATACATATATGTATATATACATATATACATATATACATATATACATATATACATATATATATATACATATATACGTATATACATATATACATATATACGTATATACATATATACATATATACATATACATATATATACATATATATATATATATTTAGCGTAATGTATATCTATATCCAAGTATAGATGTGTGTGTGTGCATATGTATATATATATATACATCCGCCTATCTCCCCTGTATCCCTTTTTCTTCCTATATCACCCTAAATCCCCCTACATCCCTAGAACGCCTATGTCCCGCTATATCCCTGGCAGCCCCTCACATCCATGTAGAATCCCGCTATATCTCGTTATATCTCGCTATATCACCCGATATTCCAATAGAACCCCCAGACAATTGTTGAGCTTAGGCGGGGGCAGCGTCCTGCTGCGAACACCACTTCCACAACCTTGCTTCTTGCATCGACAACGGGAAGTAACCCAGTTTGGGGTTTAGCATCTAGGGCCCCAATCTTATGGGATCCAATTTATTAGGACAAAACAAAGCGTGATCAGGGCTCATGTAAACCTTTTCTAGGGCAGGGGAAGTAAGGGGGCATGTAGTACAGGATCCCATGACAGGGGGGGTGTGGGGGGCCTAGTAGGCAATGGAAAAAAGTGTGGTATGTGTGAACTGTGCTAGAAAAAAAAGATATTCAGGGTTTTGGGTTAGTAGGGGCCTGAATAGCTAAAGCCAGGGAGAGCGAAATGGTCCCGTCCAGCACATGATACGTCGCAACCCATGCAGCATCATGAAAAAATAGCTCGCTGTGCAGCTTGGAAGCTTGTGCTGCAGTTACTCCACTCACCCAGCTGCCAGGAGCAGCCACTGGTATTGACCTGAAGGCAGTCCGAACGACAGCCCCAGAATGTGCTGTGACATGATACACGGCTAGATGTAAGCGGCAAGCCGCGGCATTAGAACCAGGGACAGCGTCACCCCGGTAAGCAGCCACCTATAGACCTTCACTCCAAATTAAAATCCTTGGCGGATACACCTCTCAACTATGGGAGCTGCCCATGCTAGACGACCAAGGTGCTGAGCAGCCTACGCAGCTTTGTATTTGAGCTGGACCCTCTCCAGGGCAGATGCCAGCCTCGGAATTCATAGTTTCTTTCGCACTCTCATTGGCTAAGCCTTGCGATTTAAAATGTATCTGGTTTAGGGTTGAGGGTGTAGGGATGATTAGGGTTTGGGATGTGTAGGATTTAGGGCTTGGGGATGGGTCTACATTAAACCCTAAACCCTAAATAGTAGCTTCCATTTTCTTTTCCATTATCCTCATAATCCCTATATTCTTTAGGGATGATTGCCGCTGGCAGCTTAGCAAATTGCTTTTAAGTTCGAACAATCATCAAAGCAGTACTGGTCAGCATCATAGCTCCAATTGTTAATAATCATACATCAGATTCAGGGGTTCGATGGTTTAGGGGTTTAGGGGTTTAGGGTTTAGGGTTTAGGGCTTGTGGTCTAGGTGGTACCGCGACCGCAACAAACGATGTCTCAGTCTCATTCCAACACTGGAAACCTGCTCCGAGATGCACACGACGCAAGCGACACTACGCTGCTGGAAGCCCTCGCCACAAGACACCTGGCAGGCGAGTTTGCCCTTCTGTGGGCCTGGCAGGGAGTTGAAGTATCCATTCTCAAGATTTACGTACCATACTGCTCAGCTCCTACAACATTAGGGGATTCGAAAGTACCATCCTGCTGATGCTTCTAAGCTGAAGCAAGGATGGCACAAATAACAGGTGCATCTCTAAACCCTGAACCCTAATCCCTAAGTAGTAATTTCCATTTTCTTTTCCATTCTCCCAATATATCCCCTACATGGTAGCTTCCCTAAATAGGGCAATGCAATACAGACCCCCAAATACTATGATCCTTATTACACGGACCCCAAAAACGTACCCCCCCCTCCCATTTTGGGAAACCCGAAACCCTAATCCCTAGACCCAATACCTCTTATTACCTAGGAATAAACCATAAACCCCTTTTAAAGGTACACCAACCCCAACATATCCCCCAGCTATCCCAAGAACTGACTTTTGGTTAGCTAGGAATGAAGGAATGGATCCTTAGAGTAGTCCCTACATAGCCCATTACAGTAGCTTCCATGTTCTTTTCCATTTCTTCTAAACCCTGAAGCCCTAGACCCTGAACCCTAAAACTTAAACCTTAAGCCCTATAGTAGGTTCCATTTTCCTTTATTCCCAGCTAACCAAAGGCCAGAGGCTGCACAAAGCTGCACTGACATCAACCCCAAAATATTCCCCATATATCCCCCTCTAGAACCCCTATAACCATCCTAAACCCTAAATAGTAATGTCCATTTTCTTTTCCATTATCCCTATATATCCCTTCCCCAAGACTGCACAAACCCTAAACCCTGAACCCTAAACCCTTACCCCTGTACCCCTAAACCCTTACCCCTATAACCCTTAACCCTAAACCCTTACCCCTGTACCCCTAAACCCTTACCCCTATAACCCTTAACCCTAAACCCTTACCCCTATACCCCTGAACCCTCAACCCTAAACCCGGAACTGACAGGCTGTGGCTGCGGCATTGCATGGTGACCATTCCGATGCCTCGGCAGCCCCGCTCTGCACTTGCTCACCCCAATGCTTAGGGTTTAGGATTGAGGGTTAATGGTTTAGGGTTTAGGATTGAGGGTTAAGGGTTTAGGGTTAAGGGTTTAGGGTTTAGGGTTAAGGGTTTAGGGTTAACGGTTTAGGGTTTAGGGTTTGAGGATATAGGGGTTATATATGGTTTGTGGAGGTTCTATAAGGATAATGGAATTGGAAATGGAAATGACTATAGTACAGTAGGGTTGTGGGGATTAGGGTTTAGGGTTTTGCGGTTAGGGTTTAGGGTTTGGGGGATTAGGGTTCAGGGTTTGGGGATTAGGGTATAGGGTTGTGGGATTAGGGTTTAGGGTTTTCTTTATTTAAGGGTTCAGGGATAAGGGTTTGGAATTAGGGTATGATTGCCCAGACGGGCTTCGAGTCTCAACTCCAGCATACCACTTTGGCGTGATCAATCTTATGAAGCACCAACCGCATGGCTCGTTCACGGCCTAGATTGTAATTTTATGAAGTCACGGCAAGCAGATCAAGCAAGTCCTCGCTGGCAGCCAGAAGCCCCTGCGTAAGCGACATGATGTCAGCAGCACCAGAAACAACAGTCACAGCAGTATCAGCTTAGAATCAGCTTCAGCAGAAAGACTTAAAGATCAACTGCAAGAAGAGCAGCGATGAAGGCGTGACTCGGGCTTTCGTACTTTTTCATACTTGGCGAAAAGAACAATGAACATAGAAATGTATGAACGCCAACCATTTACCCGGGAGGATGAATGAAGCGGCAGCACCACAGCAATTCTGAGTTCGCTGGCCGTCCAATTGCCTCAGCTACGTCATGCAAACGTTGCGTACAATATACACCTATACGCAGCTGACCAATTTTTACTCTTCATCAGTCGTATGATACCGCACAGACCCGCAGCCCTGCCCTGACGAAACGATGCCTTATTTTGAATCCCAGAATTCGATTTGGTTAATCAGTGGCGAGTCGAACAACCGAGTTTGTACATCTTTGAAGGCTCCAAGGAGGGGCATTTGACTGGAGATATTCAAGGCTTTTATGCTTTAGGGCTTAGGGTTTAGGGCTTGAGGTCTCGTGGGATTTGGAGTACGGCTCAAGGCTTAGGGTGTGGGATTACAATTTCGTGGCCTAAGTTTAGGGAATAAGTCTGGAAATTAGCCAGCTTGTGCTTAACATGCAGCATTGAGGGTTTAGGATTATTGGGTAGGGCGTTGGGGGGGTTTGGGATCAGGGTCTGGGGCTTAAGACTTGTAGGGCTTGGACAACTTTAGGATTAGGGCTTGGAGCCTTGGGCCGCAGGCTTCGGGATTAAAGATTAAGGTTGCGTAGGGTTTAGGGTTTAGGGTTTAGGGCTTAGGGTTTAGGGTCTGGGGTTGTGATTAGGCTTTACGCCCTATACCCTAAACCCTAATAGGATTGTTCGGGTCGGCCTTAGGGTTTAGGGCTTGGAGGGGGGTTGGGCTTCGGATCTAGGGCTGCAAGATTGAAGTTTAGAGTCTGAGGGCTGAGGGTTTAAGGTTCAATGGGATTGGAATTTAGGGCCTCAGGTTTGGGTTTAGGCAAGGTAGTTTGTTAAATCGCGGGCTATTTGGAACCAAAGAAGGGGATTTCATTGATTTCGCGGGGTGAACCCAAGAGGGACACTCCATGACTCGAGGAAAAGCCCAATCCCCTAAACCCCAAACCCTATACGCTGACGGCTCTTGCTTTGGCCTTGGATGTCAACTTATTCGGCAAATCAGCCTCGCAGAAGGCTCAAGTACATCACATTCGTGACCACACCCTAAACCCTAAACCCTAAACCCCAAACCCTATACCCTAAACCCCAAACCCTGCAAATCAAAGCCTTAGCCGGGAGGCCGCAGCCAGAGGAATCTTCACAGAGCTGGGAGTCCCCAGGTTCAGGCACCGGGCAATCCACCTGGCAACTTGATGTAGGGTTAAGGATTTGGGGTTTAGGATTTGGGGTTTAGGGTCTAGGGTTTTGGAGTTTTGGGGTTTGGGGTTTAGGGTTTAGGCGGATGTCTTGCAACATCCCCTACTTACTAATGTTTCGCAGGGGGTAAGGGAATATGTGATATGCGGGTTACATATAGGGAGAAACTTCCCGTGTTCCCAACTAACCATCTGTTAAGCATGGGTGCTATACAGGCAAAGAAGGATAGTAGTAGAGCCCAAAAGTTGATCCAAATTGAGAGCATTTGGTGCGGGCCGCTTGCGTCCACAACAGACAGCTGGAACATCCTTGTCATTACTTCTGGCAAAATTGCCTGTAGCACAAATCCTCCCGGAAGGCCATAGCGCCAGCATATAGCGAAGGCTGAAAGTTGATACAATCTCGGGTTTTGTGTTTCCTCCACTTAAAACTGTACAATAACAGGCCCTGTTAAGCGCTTGCCCATTTTATTGGTGCAACTTTCCTTGCTGAAGCGTGTACGCAGGGCTTGCAAGTGTCTAGAATATAAAAGCCCGTTCTAGCAGGTTTTTGGACGCTCACGGATCTCTGAAAAAAGGGGTCCTTTACAGCCACCATTGTCAATACACTCACAGAGTTAAGAAGCTATTGGGTTTACCCTGTGGCAACCTTGTCAAATCCCATTCCATGAGCAACACATAAGCCCTCTACACTCTATGCGTTTTTGGGCGAACAACGGAGCACTGATTCAGCCAGGACTCGTGACATGCACCCAGCTGAAGCCTTGAATCGGTACAAACTACACCTACCCACGACATGAGTAGGCATGGCTGAAGACTCTCATATCTAACTGGCAAAGGTGGTAATTTCCCTAAATAGGGGGACCTCAGTATAGACAGCAGAATACTACAATCCTTACTATAGGAACCCCCAGCATGGTACCCCTAAGTTTGGGAAACCCTAATCCCAAAACCCTGAACCCTGAAACCCTATCTAACCCCTATATAAGCCCTATATACCCCTTTTCAATGTAGGAAAATCCCAGTTCTGCCTGTGCGCCACTCTGGCATGAGACAGTTCGGTTGACGTAGCCCGTGCCGCACGAGTTGGAACACGCCGACCTGTGGTTTCTCTACAAATGCCCACAAGGGCCTGGTAATATTGGATACAGAGAGAGAGAGAGAGGGAGAGAGAGAGAGGCGGGGAAAAAACAGAACTCTGTAATCCTGCGATCAGCCATATCATAGTCAGCCTGCGACGGAATGCAAAGCGAATGATCCTTCTGCACGAACATGGCCTACGGATTACATGCAGTCTTTAGACAAACCCCAAGCCCTAAGCCCCAAACCCTAAACCCTGAACCCTGAACCCTAAAACACCAAAACCCTAAAACCCTAAAACACCAAAACCCGAAAACCCTAAAACACCAAAACCCGAAAACCCTAAAACACCAAAACCCCAAAACCCTAAAACCCTAAAACCCCAAAACCCTAAGCCCTGAACCCTAAACCACGTGCTGGAGGCAAGCTAAGACGGCAGCCATGAGGAGACCGACCACTGACAGCCGGATATCTGTC